TTTTTTTGTTAAACTTTATATATGTTTCTAATCTTGTTTAAGATATTGTACCTATACAGCTCATTTAACAATGTAATGTAAATTTCTAGTCCTTGAAAGTTATTATTATGAACTATTTAGGATAGTTAAAAAAACAGGTTAGTAGTTAGTTATCTAATAATCAAATTTGTGGCCACGTTAGCTATGTTTTAAAGTCAAACAGAGATATATTTTAGATAGATAGATGGTTTTGAAACACTTCAGAAATCTACAGAATATGGCATTTAAGATGTTTTAATAACATAAGGCTTTTTGTGACAGTGAGACATGTCTGCTCCCGGCAACACCAATTTACTTCAAAAAAGATGAAGTTTGATTTCATCCTGGCAAAGTTAGCCACTTGGCAAGAAACTTCCCTTGCCTAGACTGCTGAGAGTGTGTTTCCAAATCTGACTAGCAGGACACAAAAGGTGACTGCCAAACTTTGCCAAGACAAGGTAGGACAGTCCTTCAAAAATTCCTGCTTCACAGAAAAATCTGTCAGATATTCTAGGCCTATAGGTCAAAGATGGATTCCCCAACATTGCAGAGGAAATTTAGGTGACTGTCCAGGCAGCCAAATGTCTCTTGGAAGTTGTTTGCTCTGTACTTTCTGTTTACTCAGGTAATATTGTATCCTTCTCAGGTCTCTGACGGGTTGAAGAGTAGACAGTTACAGTTACAGTTTTCCTTGTTAACAGATTCAGAAAAGAAACTCACAAAGAGGTATAAAGTATATAAGGTTGAGAGACATAAAAGCTTAAATTGTTTATCTAAGAAAATGTTTTCAGGTTTAAAAAGATAGTTTGGGGTTGGTAATACACATTAGGATAGAAAATGAATTAGGTACAAAACTTTGGACTCACCAAGATAATATAGATAATGGAGTATTTTCTCTGGATTTGCCAAATGCAAATGGACTGGACATTGTGAATGTAATTCTTACTAGATAAATTGTTTTTATTGTATATAGTTTTACTGTATTAGAGTTAAAACCTTTCTTTTTTATTTAGACAAAAAGTGGGAAATGTGAGATATTTTAATTGCACTCTGACACTCCCGAGACTGATAAAATTTACCTTGAATCAGAAGGTGGGGCTTGCTATGAGCTGACCAAGTTAGCCATAGAGATTTTGAAGGACCCAGGATGTATGGATTGAGGAAGGAGAGAGAGAGAGAGAGGAGGTCCTCAGTTGCATCTCCACCATTTCTCTGATCAGGTTTTTACACACACACACACACACACACACACACACACACACACACACACACACACATATCTGACTCGTGAACTTTATTGATAAAAGAATAATTAGATAAATGCTTCAGGATGAAGCTGACATGATCATGGTAGATGATCTGGATGTTGCCCTAATCTGCTTTTCTATAGCTGTGATGAAACACTGACAGAAAAACAGCTTGGTCAGGGAAAGGTTTATTTTATTTTAACATGAATTACCTATTCAGAAAATTGGAGGTAGTGGATCATCCAATAGAAACTTTTCAAATATTATATTTGTGGGTGAGCTTACAGAAAGACTTAATAACTTTGACCACAAAAATAGAGTAATAAACCACTCATGTTCTCCAGGACATACTCCCCCAGTAAGCCACCATTACAATTCAAATACACCATTTATGGACCTAATATTTTAAAAGAGTAGTCACTTTACTATTTTTAGTAAAAAATATACATGTTCATTATGAAAATTTTCTATGGAGCTCAAAGATGTACAGATGAAAAAGTCTTCCAGTTAGAGAAATACTTAGCATGAACATTAAACATCATTCCAGAAAACCATGGGTGAATTCTGATTGGTGCAGGAAGTGCTACTCCACAATATGGTACCTTGGAAAATTAGAAAGTAGCAAAATCAGGACGGTCATGCCTGCCTGCCCCCTCCCTGCCTTTCTTCCTAAAAGGAAGTCATAATGCTGAGCACCCTTATCCTTCTCCTCCCAGGACCCTCAGGTTACAACTGAGGTTGTACTGAGGTTCTACTCTACAACTGAGGTTCTACCACTATACGACGACTCTGCATAAGCCTCATAACTTTCACCCACTTTATTAGCAGTAGATTGTGCTTTTATTTCTTAAATCACACATTCCCTCCCCCTGCCCCAGGATTATCCACCTCTTTTTAAGACTTAGCATAACATAGATTCTTATTTCTTTATCTCTGAAGAAACTTGTGTCTTGTGAAATTAAATATATGGGTGTGTCTTTCCCTTGTAATCTATACTCTGTTAGATACACAATTTCAGAATTCAAATAATGTGTCCCTACATGGAAGTAATTATATATACATAATTATATAATTATGATTGTAATTACTCTAAAGAGGCACTAAAGTATGAGACTTCTTGAAGGAAGAGAGACTTCATTTTTTGTCCTTTCTTTTTTATTTTTTGACAGTTTCATAAATTTATATAATGATTTTACTCATTTTCACATAACTCTCACTCCCCTTCTTACTCCTCTTCCTCTCCAGCTGGATTCCTTTTCCTACACTCATGACTTCTTCTTGTGTGTGGCCCTCTGGGTTTGGAGAGTTTCTTGTTGGAGCATGGATGGGAGGTTCTTTACAGGAGTAGGGGCAATTAGCAGCTGGAATGGCCATGTTGTCCAACTACCTCCTACATACTCACGTTTACACCCATAGATTACTGTTACTTCGTGCTTTCATTAATGTGTCTACTATTTGCATTTTAACACATATATGAATTGATTTCCTAGATATGAAATGTGGGAAACCAGAGGCTGCTGCCGTCATCCAGGGAGGAGGGCTGGGGGCCTGAGGCTGGCATAGGTGCTGGGATTGAACATTCTTAGCAGCAGGAAACAGACCATAGACAGAGGTGCAGAACAGTGAAGGAGATCACAGAGGAGTCACGCTTTATTGACAACTGGATTTCTACATAGACAGGCTCATGATTTGTACATTAAAATGGATAAAAGTAACTCTACAAAGCCCATTAGTACATAAATTTCTTTCAACTTGTCTTGTGCTATATGATTTCATTAATGTGCCCAACACATGTGAAGTGACTTAGTTCCCCTTCATCCAAAAGTATCAACTTCAACATGGACACACAGAGAGCACAACACTCCACTGCCACGCTTAACCAAACATCAATATTCTACATTTAACCCAGAAAATCATGAACAAACTTGCAAAGTAGCTGCTGCCTTTAAAAATGGTGAAGGAGAGAGAAGACAGGTTAAAAAGTTGTTGGTTGATGGGGATAAAGAGAAACCCGGTGTTGGGGAAGTTGCCAGGAATCCCGAAAGATGACCCCAGGCTGGGCTACTAGCAATAGTGGAGAGGGTGCCTGAACTGAACTGGCTTGCCCTGGAGATCAGACTGGTGAATACCCTAACTGTCATCACAGAACTTTTCTCCAATGACTGATGGAAGCAGATGCAGAGATTCTAGCCAGTCACTAGACCGAGCTCCAGGAGTCCAGTCAAAGAGAGAGAAGAGGGATTCTATGAGAAAGTGCATCAGGGTCATGATGGGGAAACATGCAGGGAGGACCAAACCAAACTAGAGGGAACTCATGAAAGTTGGATCAGTTGCTGTGGATCCTACATGGGACTGGACTAGGCCCTCTGCATGGCAAGACAATTGTGAAGCTTGATCTGCTTGGGGGTGGCCCCAGGCAGTAGGATCAGAATCCATCTGGTGCATGAGTGGGCTTTGTGGAACCCACTACCTATGATGGGACACCTCATGCAGCCTTGAGGCAGGGGGAAGGGCTTGGACTTGCCTCTACTGAATGTGCCTCCACATGGGAGGCCTTGCCTTCTTGTGGGTGGGAGTGGGAGGTGAGTTGAGAGAGGGAGGCTGGGGGGTGGGTGGGAGGAGGGAAGAGGGGATCTTTGATTAGGGTATAAAATGAATGAAAAATTTTCTTAATAATAAAAAAATTGAAAAAAAAAGTTGTTGGTTGAAAATTCTCAGCTCAGATTCAGGAGACACTAGAAAATAAAATTTCAAACAAGACTAGAACAGTATTTTTCTTTTAAAAAAAGTGTGTGTGTGTGTGTGTGTGTGTGTGTGTGTGTGTGTGTGTGTGTGTGTGTGCAGAAGTTGTGTTATATAGCCAGGAGAAAGAGTCAGATACCCTGGAGTTGATGCTACAGGCCACTGTGAGCCACCTGATGTGGATACTGAGGACTGGATTCAGTTATGCTGGAAGAGCAAGCATTCTTAACACTGATCCATCTCCTCAGTCCTCTTTAGGCTTTCTTATGGTCAGTTGTGTCCGAACCACTAATAGCACAAACATTGTAATTGTAGGTTGTCAATTTGGTGACTTTCTTGCCAGTAGTACAGCTCTTGAATATTAGACAATTTATATAAATGAATTAAAAGTAATATCTTTATGATTCAAAATGAAAACACCAATGGAATGAACTTCAAATAATTAAGAAAACTGAGTCCTTAGCTAAGTGAAAAGGTCAGTGTATCTCCATAAACTTTCCTGTAAGTACAAAGGAGACATGGTTCATCTCCAGGAAAAGGTAGATGAGTCATAGTCCAGATTGCCATGAACAAGCAATGAAAATGGGAGCTCTTTAGCTTTTCAAGAGTGTTGTTTCCTCAGCTATAAGGGAGTTGAAAGAGCTCACTAAAATGAAATTAAGTCTGCATGAAACTACTCGGGTTGGCCTGACAGCTGGAATGAAGAAAGAAGAAAAATTGTTAGAATGTTTATATCCTTCTTCTCTATCTGTATAATAAATCACTGAGACCTGTTTTACACTTTTTTCCTGGGAGATTGTTCGTAACTACTCAAATGTGGAAGTAAAAGATTGAACAGTAAAAATGCTAGCATTGTAAACTGAGATTTGGGTTTGAACAGGACCCTTTCTCCTATTGAACAGTAAAAATGCTAAGTTTTAAACTGAGATTTGGGTTTGAATAGGATCCTTTCTCCTACTGGGCTGCCTTGTCTGGCCCTCCCTGATGTGAGGGTTTGTGTCTAGTTAGGAATCTTGTTGTGCTGTGTTCGGTTGATATCTTTGGGAGGTCCACTCTTCTCAAAGGGAAACGGAGGATCTGGGAGAGATGGGAGTTAAGGGGGCACTAGGGGAAATGGAGGGAGGGGAAACTGTGGTCAGGATGTATGAGAGAAGAATTTAAAAAAACAAACAAAAGAAAGATTTATCACTACTAGTGTGTATACTGCAAGTCTGAATTTTAAGAGGTAATAATTTGAGCAAGAGAGAAATGGCAAAAAGATTGTATTACTTAATCCTTCCATTAGATATGTAACTAATGCATACCGACTGAAAAGTAAATATCTTAAAATACTGTCAAGGGAACAAAGATAAAGACTGATTCCCATAGGATGATGCTCATTCTAACAAAATACCACACAGAGCCTGCCTTAAGAGAGTGTGCGCGCACACACACACACACACACACACACACACACACACACACACACACACACAGATAATGAGGCAGAGACAGGGAGACAGAGAGCACAAGCCACACTATGTGTTTTCAATTAAATTTAAGCAAAAATAATTAAGAACATCCTCATGGTTGACAGTGCCCCATGATCCAGTGTGTTCTCTATTTCTGTGATGCATAGACACTTTCCCCTGGTCTGATAGGTTCATCTTTGCCATCTCCATCATAACAACTGCTTTGTGGGCTTCCAACCAAATGTTGCTCCAGGTAACTTACAAATCCTACTGGCCCTAGAATGACAAGGAAAGTCATTCCAGGCCCATTTATCTTGGACATTAATAAGGACAACACAATCTTCTTCCATAAAGTTATTGGGTTCACCCTCATGCCAGAATCTGAAAGAGAAGGAGAACAGTGAGCTAGAGATTATACCAATGACAATCTGGAGAAGTGGAGTGAACAGTAGAGTGAGTGACTCCTCAGAGCTGCAACCTGCACTACAAGAGCCACCAGCTACATGCAACTAATGAGCATTTGAAATGTGACTTCCAACTCTGGCGGTGGTGGCGCACACCTTTAATCCCAGCACTCCAGAGGCAGAGGCAGGTGGATCTGTGAGTTTGAGGCCAGCCTGGTCTACAGAACAAGTTCCAGGACAGCCAGGGATACACAGGAAACTCTGTCTCAAACAACAAACAAAACCAACCAACCATCCAAACAAACAAACAAAAACTCCAGCATGGCACTGCATAAAAACAGGCTCATGGATCAGTGGACTAGAACTGAGGAGCCGTAAGTAAGTCTGCACTGCTGTATCTACCTGATATTTTACAGTGAAGCCAACAACGAAGATGGGAGAACAGAGCATCTTCGACGAATGGTGCTGGCAGAGCTGGACAGCTAACAGCCATACGATGAAACGGACTCTTTACTTCCCACCCCCTCAACTCCAGATGAAGCAAGGACCTCAGATAAAACCTGATGCCCTGAATCTGATAGAGGAGAAAGTAGGGATGCTCTCAAAGTCATGGGCACAGGAAAGGACTTTCTGAGCAGGACCCCACTGGGAAAGGGATTAAGACCAATAACTAATAAATGGGACTTCACGGAAGTAGATAGGCTCTGTACACCAAAGGACACCATCACTCAAGGGGAGAGGCATATCTGTCAGCTATACACCTGACAGAGGGTTAGTATCCAGACTATACAAAGAACTGAAAGGGAAAAAGGTAAACACCAGGAAAACAAATGGGGTTTGTGAACTAAGCAGAGTACTCTCAAAAGACAAAAGACAAATGGCAGAGGAATATCTTTAAAATGCCCAACATTCTTCGCTATTGGGGCAATGCAGATTAAAACTGCTCGGAGATTTTATATTGCCCCAGTCAGAAATCCTAAGATCCAAATAAACAGACGAAGGCAAATGTTGGCATAGGTATGGAGAAAGGAGAACACTCATCATTGCTAGTGGGAGTGCAAACTGGTACAGCCACTACAGAAATCCATGTGAAGTTTCCTTAAAAAGTTAGAAATATATCTAGTATATGATCCAGCTATACCATTCTTGAGCATATACCCAAATGACTCTATATCCTCCTTAGATCTAGATACCTCCTAA